CATATAATATAGCACGTACATTAAATATAAATTCAATTCAATATATAATTTAATTTATTAATATATTATGCTTTACTATCCGCAAAATTGCCGAAGATGATAATAATAACAATAATAATAACGTGATAATAATAATGCCGATAATAATAGTAGTAATAGTGATAATAATAGTGATAATAATAATAATAATAATAATAATAATAGATAATAATAGATAGCAATAATAATAATAATAATAATAATAATAATAATAATAATAATAATAATAATAATAATAATAATAATAATAATAATAATAATAATAATAATAATAATAATAATAATAATATAGTAGTAATAATAATAGTAGTGATAACCTGTTTTAAAAGTGTCATTATTAAAAAAATGCTTTCTTTCTTCATCACCTTTTTCTTCTTCTTCTTTAGTGGTTATTTCAAAAACGAAAAGTTCGTTGTTGTTGCTTTCCTTTCGGCTGTACATTCCAACTCAGTATGCAAGTAATTTTAATCAAATAGGACATTGAACGAGGGAGGGGGACTGCGGAAGTCATACCGCATGCGCATGCACCTACCTATCTACCTATAGCATTTTTAGCATTAGGCGCGCAGCTCATAAATTTGTGAACGTTGTTGACCTTGATAAAGGTGATGATGGTATGTATGTATGTATGTAAGGAGCCTTCTGGTTGGTGGTATAGGTTGGAACGATCATCCAAATGGAGTCGCTTACTTTTGTCACTGTCGTTTTTGTATTACGCAGAAAGCAGAATAAAATTCCAAGTTAACATCATCATTAACAGCAGTTAACTCAGGAAAACTTTCTCCCGTTTTACGACAATCAAAATATTCATTGGCCATATAAACAGTTTTTAAATAAAACAAAAGTTAATTCTTGTTTTGGAGCACAATTGGATTATCATTATATTCATTATTTTATGCGAACTTCATCTTTTGCTTTCTATTACAAATGATTTGTGAACATTATTCAACTAAATAAAAATAGAGATATCAAATAGATTTATTATAAATAAGATTATTTGGAAAAGAAGAATGTTGTTCATTCCAATCAACCAAAAATGTATTCATGTTAACAAGTAAGAGTTTAAGTTTTCTCAGGGAAAGATTGTCATTTTTAAAGCTGATATCAAGAATTGACGCTAACAATCCTGCAGTTGTCGTTGTTCATCATTGACAGGAGAAAAAATTGTTGAACATTTGTGTTGCTTTGAAATTTTAAGTCCTACGAATGACAATATGTCTAAAATATCCCATTTGAAAAATGAAAATGTCAACTATTTAATCACCTGACTCAGTTTTAATCAAAATATTATAAAATAATAAAATATCATCACCATTGTCATCATCTTAATTGTTAACACCATTGCGATTATAATTTTTCAAACTTTGTGCAAATTTCAGGACGCTATCTGTGAATTAAAGAACACATCCGCACACACACATGCACAGCACACACACACACACACACACACACACACACACACACACACACACACAGACATATGCATGCAAGTTTAAACGAAGGATTATGCCAATATAATAACTTTTTGGATTTAATTTTTTGTTTCAAAAACTTTCAAAGTAAAACTTATGCACATTCATTCACAAGCGTGCATGCTTACTTAAAGTCTAGATATGGGTGGTCTTTGAAAATTAAAAACCCCAAGCACTGACATAGATACTTTCTTAAGGTATGCGATACATTTCTCCTGTTTCCATTGAAAAAATTTTGTATTTGCAATGAATAAATTTGATAATAAGCGCTAATGACATAACAAAAATCGTTCACATTTGCGCCTTATCCTTGTCAAAAAATAAAGATAAAAAATAAAGTAAAATAAATAAAAAAAAATAGAAAAGAAACAATTTTTCCATTGCAGGAAAAAAAGATTCTCACCGATTCTCATCTTTCATCTGATACTATTGGTTACATCTTTGTTTTCAGTTTCAAAAATTACATCATTGATAAATTATTACTACTACTACTACTACAGCGATGTATGTCCTTTTTTCGTCTTCCAATTTATTTAAATTGCATCGGATTGACGATTATAATGATAGCAGAAGAGTTGGTGTTATGGCAATGAGATGAGATGGTGGAAAAAGGGTTGGGGGAGATTTGGCCAATGTATCAATGAACTTGTCATCCACTCTTCCTAAATAAAATGTAATACTTTTTGTGTACAGAAATATTCTAAGGAAGAAATCATTGTGCTTAACATTTCGTTATAAACTTACCTCTGCTAATAATCTTCCAACGATCTTGTTAATTTCTTTACATTTTGGCAATATAAATTATTCCCATTAAATCTTCAATTTATCTTTTCTTTTATGCTTTCATTTGCTCTTTTTTTAACTGGCTATCAGCAAATTCACCAAATTATTGGAATATCCAACACAATGCATCCTCTGTTATCACCTATCTCTGCTAATAATCTCTCAATTTATCATTTAAATGTTAGCTACATTTGACATAATATCAATTATCAATTCAGGAGGAAGATTTAACTACTTTATTTTATTACATCATGCAATTAACTTGTCCATAAATTGATAATAAAACTAAGGATGCAAAAAAGAGGAATTAAGTGTGCCAGAATTTGGTTCAAAATAACTTTTTTCTTTGGTTATTCAATCCTTTCGATAAGCTAATCATAATTTGCTTCATTTTAAGCATTTACAAAACAATAAAATCAAATTTTATTCTTACCCCGAAATGTTCAATTTTTAACGCAAACTATTTTGCTTAACATTATTTCATTTTCACCACTATCATCATTGATCTCTGTTAATTAAAAGTGATTTTTTGATTTCTCGTGACAAATATTCTCTTTCATGATATCCTCAATATATATCTTTCCTTTAGATTTATAATATCATATTTGAAGCTATCTGTATCATTTGTTCCATCTATTGCACGTAGGAGTTTATTTTTATTATTTTTTACTTACTTTCTGATACATGATGTATATATGAAATTAACAAAGGTTAAAGTTTATTCTGTTCCATTTATTTGAAAAGTGCGAAAGGCGTATTAAACACTTCTAAAATTTACTTTTATTTTTCAAGGTTAGAAGGATTAGGTGAAGGGAGTGGCCGAGTTATCAATATTTGTAATTCGAATATCTGGAAATGGCGGATGATGCAGTCTGACAGGCAATGGGTCCCATTTCAAGGCTTCAACATACCGTTTGATCACTATGCCACAAAGGGCACAACAAATATTTCTCCTCAAAATGCGACAATTGAAACAGAAACAAATTAGAAATGGTAAGGAAATATTACTTATAAGATATTTTCTTCACTGCGGAAAATGTTTGTTTAATACAGAAGCAATTCCATTAGTTTTTGTTGGAAATCGGAAGTTTAGTAATTATTTCATCTTTTTTGAAATGTCAAAATAAGCGCTTATTGAAATTAACTTTAACTAACTATACTTCATCCAATGTTTCCAATCTTTGGCTTGATTTTGCTTCAATGTCGTCTTTTTTTTTTCGTAAATCAAAAATTTTGATGATATAAAATGAAGAAGAAAAGCAACAAAAATACATTTTCAAAATTTATGTCGTTGACAGATACGCACGACAACAACAACAAATATGAAAAGTTTTGTTGCTTTGCTGGTGTTATAATTAGAAAATTGTATGTGTGTTCCATTAAGTGATGTCGATGACCGTTATTATAAAATACATTATTAGACTGTCAGCATGAAAAAAAGAGAATGAAATATCCAAAGGATACATTATTATTATTATTATTGCCGATACTGCAGATCATATATCATGATGTATTTTAATTTGAAACTTGGAGAAGAGAGAGAGAGAGAGAAAAAAAAACAAACTTTGCACCCTTTTTTTTCCTTCACCTCTTTTACTACGGTACTATTCAATTTCATGGAATCATTCATTCATTCATCTTCATCATAATCGTCTATTATCATCATTTCATCTTATCTTTTTCATACCTTTTTTCTCTTCCCTCATTGTCGGATATCTTTTATACATTCCAAAATGTAAATGTTGCCCTTAAAATTTATGATGTTTGTTCAGCTTTATTTTTCCATCCGAAAATTTGTTTAAATAATTTGTTTATTCTTCGCATTATTTTTATAAATTAACTAATTATAGAATTCTATCTGGGTAACATGCATATTTCAAATGGCAATTTTAAGTTTCAAACCATCACGCAACATTTAGCTCATGATGCCGTCATAATCGAATAACGATGAAAGCCGACTTGAAACTTCTTCTCTTTTGTTGTCCTTCTTGTCCCCTCTGTGTCCTTTGGCACTTTCCACTCCGATCTTTCGAATTTTATTTTGTAACCTTTGCAGCTCAAAAGTACATTGAGGAAATTATTGATAGTTGTTTGAAATGAAACTAAACACATATATTCGTTTTTTTCAAAACAACAACTTTTTTCCGCATTTTCATTGAAAATTATAAAGCAAAGTTAAATTTCCAAAACTTAAAAAGCACTAAAATTTTAAAAAACAGAATTTTGCAGCGATTTTGCTCCGCCATAAATATATGTTAAAATACATTGTAATATATTGCATATACATACTAAAGTAGTAATTAAATTAAAATTCATTGCAAAATTCAACGAATAGAAATGTAATTTCATATTGAAA